CCCCCTCCCGTCACCCCCTGCCCGCCCAGGTACTGTCACCCCCTGCCCGCCCAGGTACTGTCACCCCCTGCCCGCCCAGGTACTGTCACCCCCTGCCCGCCCAGGTACTGTCCCCTGGACATATTTCACAGCACTGTAGAGTAGGCAAAACAAAAAAAAGTTTGACAAACAGGAATATTGGGTATAGAGCGCCCTGTCCAAATAAGCTCACAATCTAAAAAGGACGAGGGAGAAACACACACAGAGGGGTGTATCGTGTGCATTGTGTCTGCCTACATTACTGAAATCCCCAGATCTTTACCGCGAGTGCCAGTTTACCCATCCAATTATGGGTTAGATGTACAGTTACCAGGATTGCCAGAACTTGACTGTCCCATTATCGGTTAGATCATGGGCTAGTGGAGAAGTCGTCTTTTCCTATGGAGGCGATACATAGATCATACAGCATACACTTTGCCCATCCCTGTAGCTTGGCCGAGCTCTCAGTGGAGGCTCCTTCATGCTGTGTGTTACCGTTATCCTTATCACTGATGTCTGCAGAAGGCTGAAACTTTAGTAATCCGGTGGGTTGGGGCTCACAGTACAACATTTCCAGTAGCTATTGATGAGTGTGATAAAATGTAGCCCTGGTGATCATGCTATGGACCCTCCAGTCTTGCAGTGATGGGTAACCTCTATGGCCTGGCTAATGGCATACTGCTTGAAATTTGAAGCCCTGGAAGTTGGGGGAGGGGGTCTTCCTCTGTCAATTTCATACAATCCTTCTGTGCTGGAGGATTAGTGAGAAACTGTAATGCGGGGTAGTGGTAAAATCCATGCTGTCCTGTTTTTTTTATATATATATATATAAACGCCTAGTGGTAAAGAAACACTCCAAGCGGCAAAGAGGATGCTCTCCAATAATTACTTTGAACGCTCGCTTACATGGAAGTAAGAGGTTCTCATACAGAAACATAGGATTCATTCTGTTGGCAGATCACAGCCATTGCCACACATGCACCATAGGGCCAGTGATTCCCTATGAGAAGCACTCTCCTCCATTTGAGCAAGTGACAAACGTTAGATTGGCCAGCGAGATCCTAAGTAACATCTTTATTATAGGGAGATGTGGAGAGGTCTGCCATCTATATAAACTGTGCAATTCTAGCATTAGAAGTAAACCTATGTTTAATTCTATTGTTCCTTTTAAGATATATTCAGATAATTCAATCAACAATTAGATTTCATGTGACTTTTGCATGACCTTCTCCCAAGGTATTGTAGGACGGTGGGAAGTAACATGTGTTGGAGCGGTAATAAATAGAAAGCTGTATCCTGCCTGACACATGATCAGTATTATACAATGGTCTCCCAAGCCAATAACACGGTCAGGATTATTTACTACGCTGAGAATTCAAAATTCATTTCAAACTTAAAGTGGCGCTTTCAGTTTCTTGGGTCCTTGCATGTTTTGCAAACAGACCCCCTCCTGATGGTGACATCCCCACTGGGGGTGCAGTGTAAGGGAGACACATACCGGATGCTGCCCCCACAGGCGCTGCCATCTTATATCTTCAGATCCTGGCATGCCATCTGCCAGGAGCCCACGTCAGTGCTCTAGTCTAGCACACGAGTGAGAGAACAACACTGATGTAATGGAGGATCCCACGAGACTTTGTGAGCCTCCATAGATATTATTGGGCAGACTAGATGGGCCGAATAGTTCTTATACGCCGTCACATTCTATGTCTCACAAGCAACAAGACAATGTCTGCCATCAGCTGTCGCTAGGGTTGGTGAATTTTCAAAACGTGATGGCGGTGGCTCCAACAAGCGTCGGAAAAATACGTCAGATAAAGTAGTCCCTATTTTGTCTTCTACCTTTTGATTGTGTTGGGATTTCATCGGAATTTAGTCAATGTTGCTATTTCATACAGGTATATCTCTTTATGAAATGCTCAATTTTGGTGTTGAGAGAGCAGAGACGCTTTAAGGTCATTAGCTGACCTGGAAATTGAATGTGCATAATTTTAGTTTTCAAACTTGTCTGAAAATCAATCTATACAAAGGATAGTTCTATTATGTGCTGGCTGTGCATCCCTTGATTCAAATAAATAATGTTTGGTAATGAATGGGTTAATGAAATTGTAGTCCTATATCACACTTTGCTTACATGATGTCAATTGTTTATTTTATTTTTTTTATGATTAAGGCATCATTTGTTTTCAAGTGATTTAGGAAAATTGACATTTTAAATGCTGCATTCCTGTTTTTCTGTCCCTTCTATTACACATCGTTGGGTAAAATAAAATTGATATTCAAATTGAAATAAGCTTGCGGTCTCACTTATCTCGTGCTGGATTCCAGGGTACTCTGGCAGGAAACAGTCTGTAATTGAAGACTTTGCCAGCATGACCTGTGACAACAAGGATACGGTTTATCCATTCACAGGACACACTATATTTGTAGTGTAATCTAACCCTGCCTGCCTTATCGCCTCTGTCTGCTGATATCTGTCCTGTACATTCACTGCCTCTCAGTAATTGTTTTATATCCTTTTACTATTGATAAGGAGTGGCAGCAATATACACTGTAATGAGGTCAATGAGCAGGCACGTTGCACATGTTCCATATAATAAAACCATCTTATCAACAATTAAATACCATTATGTCACACTTCTGGCTTTGACAGTGCAAGACTCTCTATACATTTAATTTTCCAAATTGTTAGGAAATGCATAGATTGCAGATTATTCAAAGCTTCACTTGACAGCATGGGGCACAGATAATGAGATATTAATATACATTTTCCTTTAATACAGAGTTGTCATACACACCTGACTCTGGCAGGGAGCTGTATACACTGTATCTGCCTCTGGCAGGGAGCTGTATACAGTGTATCTGCCTCTGGCAGGGAGCTGTATACGCCGTATCAGTCTCTGGCAGGGAGCTGTATACAGTGTATCTGCCTCTGGCAGGGAGCTGTATACACTGTATCCGCCTCTGGCAGGGAGCTGTATACACCGTATCCGCCTCTGGCAGGGAGCTGTATACACCGTATCCGCCTCTGGCAGGGAGCTGTATACAGTGTATTTGCCTCTGGCAGGGAGCTGTATACACCGTATCCGCCTCTGGCAGGGAGCTGTATACACCGTATTCGCCTCTGGCAGGGAGCTGTATACAGTGTATCTGCCTCTGGCAGGGAGCTGTATACACTGTATCCGCCTCTGGCAGGGAGCTGTATACACCGTATCCGCCTCTGGCAGGGAGCTGTATACACCGTATCCGCCTCTGGCAGGGAGCTGTATACAGTGTATTTGCCTCTGGCAGGGAGCTGTATACAGTGTATCTGCCTCTGGCAGGGAGCTGTATACACCGTATCCGCCTCTGGCATGGAGCTGTATACACCGTATCCGCCTCTGGCATGGAGCTGTATACACCGTATCCGCCTCTGGCATGGAGCTGTATACACCGTATCCGCCTCTGGCAGGGAGCTGTATACACCGTATCTGCCTCTGGCATGGAGCTGTATACACCGTATCCGCCTCTGGCAGGGAGCTGTATACGCTGTATCTGCCTCTGGCATGGAGCTGTATACGCTGTATCTGCCTCTGGCATGGAGCTGTATACGCTGTATCTGCCTCTGCCAGTGAGCTGTATACGCTGTATCTGCCTCTGGCAGGGAGCTGTATACGCTGTATCTGCCTCTGGCATGGAGCTGTATACGCTGTATCTGCCTCTGGCAGGGAGCTGTATACGCTGTATCCTGTATACACTGTATCCGCCTCTGGCATGGAGCTGTATACACTGTATCTGCCTCTGGCATGGAGCTGTATATGCAGTATCTGCCTCTGGCATGGAGCTGTATACACTGTATCTGCCTCTGGCAGGGAGCTGTATACGCTGTATCTGCCTCTGGCATGGAGCTGTATACGCCGTATCTGCCTCTGGCAGGGAGCTGTATACGCGGTATCCGCCTCTGGCAGGGAGCTGTATACACTGTATCTGCCTCTGGCAGGGAGCTGTATACACTGTATCTGCCTCTGGCAGGGAGCTGTATACGCCGTATCCGCCTCTGGCGTGGAGCTGTATCTGCCCGTGGTATACGTATAATGCATACTACCATCTGCTCTTAGCACACAGCTATACCATGTATGTCTCCTTTGGTGCAGAGCTATATTCTGCCCTGGCTCTGGCATTGCTTATACAAGTAGTCTCACATATTCAGGTACATTGTAAAGCAGATTTTTCCTCCTTCCTGTTACACATCATCACTGTAGGATTATGTTTTCATTGTGCTCCCATAGTGTCTTGCAAAATACATCACAAAACAGCATTGCCATTTTTAATAGTTACACAAAATAGTACCAGCTGGGACTCTGGGACTTCTGTAAGAGAACTAAAATGTGTATATATAATTTTTTTTTTAACTCTCTTAAGGACATCTAAACATGAATAGATATATCACAAAACCAGTTCAATAAATGGACATACTTAGATTTACCAGCAAGCATGTCTACCAACTGCACATGCTCAAAGGGGCCCCACCTTCAAACAAAGTTATCTGATCATAAATAAATAGCCTGTTTATATCCACAATAAATATAGACTATCTCAAACTGTTAAATGTTTGAAAATCGTGATCATCTGAAACTGCTACATTAGTCCATACAAAGTATTTAACAGATCTCTCTTACACGGTCACTAGTTACAACCCGCCAATTTGCATCAGTTAAACCAAAGTGCTTGGATGTAGAGTATAAAGAAACAGATACAGGCGCTCGCTATAATCAATCAATAAGAATGGGCGGCAGTAGATCAGCAAGGATTCCCAGATCTTGCAAAGTGTGAAAAAAATGTGGATCATTCCTGTTTTTTTTCACTTCGATGTAAAGTGCCTTTTACATAGAGTTAGACAATACAAGGTGCTAACTTGCAAAATGAACTTATAGAATCAAACAGAATGAAGTTACATTCAAACTGTACTCAAATGGCACCACTGCTGTAAAATGACCATTCTGTACCTTCGATATTCATCATAAAACTCCTTAAACCCGTACTATATTAAAGCTTTATTTATCATGAGAGATCCTGCTCAAGTCAATGTTAATCGTACATGATTTATTTATTAATGACATCCTAATTAAAAGGAGGGGCACGAGATTGGAAACTCAATCTTATGTTGAACAAATCAATGTGTTTATACATACAGAACAAACACGTCCTGGATGGGACTGAAACGTCGACACTGTGTATCGCTCATTGCAACACTATCTTTAGTTTAAAAGTTCTGTGAGTGCTCTGTTTTTTGCAACAGTATGTGAATTCTTGGCACTCGTCCTTTTAAAAGTAAAAAATAGACCGTGCCTGGATGCTGACCGCATTGCATACATAAATCACAAACACAGGGTGCTCTTTAATGGTGCTAAATATTACGTAAACATATGAGACCTGAACCGGTCGAAATGTCAATCCATATATTTAAATAAGATTAAATCCTGTGTGTGCACTATATGTTAGTGACCAATATAAATGATTGATTTATTATTTTTATCTAAATGGATCAATGTTAAGTTGAGTGCAAAAAAGTGAAGTATAAGATTTAAAGGAATCTATAAAGTTGTATTCTGGGTGAAGTGACCGTACTGGTATTGCCTGCTCTGTGAGTTTTGTGTCCCCCCCTCTCCCCGATCAGCATCTTTAGTAATGTGTGTTTCTATTACACAAACCATCTACTGGTAAAGTACAGCTTTCCCTAATCGTTATCTAAACAATTACTGCAATTTGCAAATCAGTTAAGTGGGGATTAGGTTTTGTGGACAAACAGTGGGGAAAGTAAGGAGAAATTCTCTATATTAAGGATTTAGCTCCGGACTGCCTCACATCTTTGAGGTCATGGCGTTCATCATAAAATAAAGAGCATTAAACAGAAAATTGCACATTTTACATCCATATGGCCGTGCTGGAAAACTGACCGACGTACAGATTTTTGCAAATCATTAAATTTGATGTAAAATGTGGCATTCTCCTTACATCGCAAAGTGAATTGTGGGAAGTTTAAAACACAATTGGATAATTTAGGTAAAAATAAGTTGTGGTTTGTTTTTAGTTTAAATCCACGTATTGAGCCAAGTGCTATAACCCTGTGATGTCTATGGGAGCCGTTCAGTGTCTGGGAAATGCTTGAACGCTATAATTAGTTTTTTTGTTTTTTGTTCTGTGGATCTTACACAGACCTGGTCCAGGAATGGTAATGTTAATGTTTGCGTTGCGCACACCCACGTATCACGCTCTGTTTCTACGTCCGTCTGTCTGCGTTTCCATGATCCTAGGCCTGACTGACACTCCTATATTTCACAAAGCCAAGATTAACCATCACCGCATGGAGCCAGTTGTTTGAAAACTGATTTTGGTTCTGTTAACTAAAGAGTGAATTTTGAAACATTTTGGGAGGAAATATTTGATGTAGAAAAAAATGCTTACATTTCCGCAGTTTTCACATAATGTGCAGTATCCTTGTCATTTCCCCCAAGTACTGGGTTATTGACATCAAGCTGATATTTATAGATCCCCTTCGGGGGTTTGATCATTGCTGTCTGTTGATTTATTAAAACTGCTCTGTCTGTGGCTTTTGCCACAATTCACCGTTTTGTGGCACAGTATTGATTT